TCCTTCAGTCTCTAATGCTGAGATCATTTAATGATTCTCTTGCAACCTATTTATGGCACCGCTTGGTGAACATAACAGAGGTTAATAAAGTAGAGGTCAACTCTTTATCACACCTGCTCAGCGCTGTTTTCCTCTCTCCTACACTGTAACTCATAGAAGCATTTCTCATTAATGACCTCCCCCATAGGGCCCATAGGGCGAGTAAGTATAAATGTACTATGCAGAGTTTAATGCCTTGATTCCCAGAGGCATGCTTGCGTGATCGTCAAATTATTCTGGGTGCCATGGCAGGTATTTATTTCATGCTAATAGCCGGCATCTTGCTGGAGGCTGGGAAAACAAGTGTAACACACACATTACACAGAAAAATGCCAAACACTGGCCAATCAGGGGTGTAAATAAACTGATAGAGCGAGACAATACACGCTGGAGCCTGGAGTTGAGTAATTCTGTATGGAGGAGGGAATGGGGCACACTGGCATAGGGAAGTATGTATTACGGGAAGGGAAAAGGGACAATAGTTGTGTGTGTGTGTGTGTGTGTGTGTGTGTGTGTGTGTGTGTGTGTGTGTGTGTGTGTGTGTGTGTGTGTGTGTGTGTCTATGTGTGAGGTGTTTGGGGCTTGTGTCTGTTTGTGCATCAATAGTGTGTAAACACAGTTGTGCCTTGTAGGAAATCATAATGTAATAACTGCTCATGATAATAACTGCGACTGTGCAAACATACAGCAGAGTAATCCAGCAGGGAGCAGTGGTTCTACAGTGAGAGGCTTATAGTGGAGTCCACCTGAGGTGTGTGGATACAATGTGCAGGCTTCTGCCACTTATTACTCAGGACAACTGTCATTTTATTACACTCTGAGCACTGCACAGATTCAAGTGAAGCTAAATTGTATTCCCTAACTTCAAACTTGACATACAAGGGTGTTATTATATTCATAATTTTAAGGAACATCACTTATCAGAGGTCTGTATAGGTGAAAATATGGATCATATTATTGGGGATAAGGGTTGCACCAGCATCTAACATATACTACACTACTTGCACAGTTTCAGCCATCCATTTATTTTCTGTGCTGATTCTTTTAAAAGCCATAAGAGGCTGGAGGAGCTTTAATTGGACCATATAGAAGTAATAAACAGGATGTTTTTTTTATTTATTTATTTATTTAGCCATTCTCCACTACCAAGGTAGCAACTATAGCAACACACACACATATATATACTGTATATATTTGTATAAAACAACACAACATGGCAAATGTGTGCAGAATCATATATAAGATAATTATACGATTACCACTTCCACACTTTGATGCCTAGCTCCATTCAAATGACCTGTATGTTGATGTGCTCAGCATAAAGATAACAGAAATTCTCCTGATCTGGAGACTAGAAAAGAGAACCAGAGACGTTATCGTGTCGCTAATGCTAACTACTAGCTACTTTTCTTTGTCCAAATGGCAAATGTGAATGGCCAAATCCCCATCACACGACTTGCTGTTTGTCACAATAAAAAAATAAAACAGGCTACTTTTTATTCTACAACATGTCTCTCATTTACATTTTCATTGATAAACAACAGGAGTTGTGATTATAGATTCTCCACATGCGCGGGTAATCTACGCAGCAGGAGCCAAAGCTGCTTTTGTCAACTCTAAATGTACAAGATATGCGTTTGCTTCATCGACTTCTTTTGTTTGGCTTTTGTCCTGTTGATGCTGTTATTTGTCCCTTCCCCACTGTATTTTGACAAAAAGTCATTGAGGTGGTTTCAATACGGCTCATTATCCTAACAGAATTCAAATGAATGGATGCTCCTGTAGCTCCTCGCTAAAGCTTCCTCCAGGAAGTCTCTCCTTGCTCCTCTGAGCAGTAATGATTAAAGACTTGATCAATTTCTGGGTTATGTGAGGATGAAGGATGGAGGAGATACGAAATAAGCGGAATGATCATGGATGTAATAAACCATGGATGGCAGCCTATTAATTCCAATGAGAGCTGCTGTCTTTGCACTTCCTTGCCCACAACACTAATTTCAGTCCGCGTTAATGAATGAAGCTGGAATAATATATTATTTCTCTGTTGCGTTTTAACATATATTGACTCTGATGTTTGATTATTCAAAGAATATTCAGTCAGTTGTTTTTTGTGATGAAATTTAGGCAAAATTTTTTTCTCAGCCCGATCTCATCACATGACTTGCAGTTTGGTCTGTGGCCACTTTCACCAAAACTGCTGCACAACACCGTACTCTCTGTGGGTATGGAGGAGCATGTCACTGCTGCAGGACATGATATCATTCCCTGTTTAACCACTCATGGTTTCCAGATACAGATGAGGGCTGCACAATTAATATTATCAAAATTGCAATCTGGCCAAGTGCAGTATCTAAAAACACAGTGGTGCAATGTTTTCATGAAGGTAAAATGTGTCACAACATTATAAATGAAGCTTGGTGGTGCTACAGAGATGCCCCTAGCAGACAAATTGTATTGTCCAGATGAAAGGGATCATGCTTGTTTGGTACAAGACCCCAGTAAAAAAAAAAAAAAACAAAACAAAAAACTCACACCATCATCATTTTTATATTTTTTTCAGGGAAAATTAAATGCATTCCCACCTCGCAAAATAATTGCAATGCTTTTTTTTTTTTTTTACATCATTCAGCCCTGCTACAGATACACATTCTTCAAATTAAACAACAAGATGTTTGTAGCGGCCCTTCGCAACATGTTTTCTGATCTGATGTCACTGTCAACAGGACTAAATCATTTGTCAGTGTCTTCCAAAACTGTCACAAATCACTGTTACAAAAATAAAACTGTCCTGATCTGATGAGGTTTTGTTACTGTGTATTGACATATGGACACCAGCTGTGTTTTTGAATGCCTGCTGGGAGCTGCAGTGGTCATACAGTATTATGTCCACATAGAATAAAAGGAAGTGTGGAAGTGGGACACCAGTGTGTGGGTGTGGCTATTTTTGTCTTTTTGGTTTCATGTTTAGGCACAAAAACAACTTGGTTTGGGAAAGATCATGATCCCCTCAATTTGTTGAAACTAGCCAGGAGATGATCATCACTGTCATGACTATGCGAGCAGAGGTTTTTGTGTCAATGTCCAATGTTTTGCGGATCCATTCTCCCCTCTCTCTCTGTGGATGTCACACTGTTCCTCCTTTGCTTTGATAATAATTACCACGCCTGCTCCATGTCTTTGTCACTTCAACATCAACATGTCATTTTTGTGAATGACTCTGACTCTGCATGTTTCACACATAACCCAGTCAGAGTTTTTTGTGCTTCCAAAGCTTTGTTTATGAAGAGTCAGTTACACACACACACACACACACAAACACACACACACACACACACACACGCACGCACACACACACACACACACACACACACACACACACACACACAAACACACACAGCTGGAAGCTTCCCACCCCAACCAGTCTGCTCTGTTGGCCACTGAGCTACTCCACTGGAACAGTTTGAGGGTTCAGTGCTAATAATGAGAAAGTGGTGCCCTAAAAAAAAAAAACAACAACAAAAAAAAAACAGCTGATGTCTTTACTGCAAAGACCATGACAGCATCCCCCGCTGGCTTCCCACCTGCTAACACTACCAGCTGTGTTGTTGTATTGCCTGCTGGGAGCAGCAGTGGTGCTGCACCCAGTTGCTTCTCCACTACAGTTTGACCATGCTTGTGTGTGTGTGTGTGTGTGTGTGTGTGTGCGCATCTTTGTATAAACACACCTTGAAAGCACTGACGAATTTAATATGAATCTGTCATTACAACATAATATTGATTCATTATTTTTCATTGACAAAATGCAACCAAAATCATAGAGTCAAAGTAAGAATGTAAGAACTTCTACATCACATGTACTTATTGTATTCTGTTAGTTTCTGTGTACATTTGCATGTTTGCATGTGTTTCCATGTGCACACACTCAACACGCCTGCAGGGGGGTTTCTTCTTTACTCCATCAGCCTCCAGCTGAGCCAGCCTGTGCTTTGCTTTTGTTTGATAGGTTCCGTTGCATTTTTCTGGGCCAGCCTCCCTCATCAAAGTGATTAAGCAATTACACTGATTGTGCCGATGCTCAGAAGAACGAGGGAAGCACCCTCGAGTATTGAGTGCTAAAGCTTTCTTGGAGATAACGGCTTAATTTGTGCCTAATCAAAATAAAGGCCGTTCTCTTAAATCTCCAACCTTCCTTCAGCACTGGGTCGCTCGGGGGAACTGAGAAGGTGTCGTTAAGGGGTGGGGGTTGGGGGGGGGGCAAAGGACTCCCTGCTGGGGCCTTTTCTAACTTAAATATCATTACATATGGGCCTTGTGCAATATACAGACGTGCTATTATAAGGCAATGAAGCCGCTCTTTCCCTCCAAATGAAATAATAATTAACATCTTAGAAGTGATAACGATTGTAGCCTCTGAAGATGCTGCATACACCCAGCGTGGATCCCAACTGGAAATAATCAAAGAGTTTGGGAATTAAATCAACATGCAGTTCGTCTCTCAGCACTGCTGTGGGCATCAATAATGAAACATGAGTCTACGAGTCTGGAGAGTCCCCTCACGAGCACAACACACACACACACACACACACACACACACACACACACACACACAAACACACACACACACACACACACACACACTCATCTTTTTGGCATCAGATCATTACAAATAACTTCCTCCAGGTGCTGACATTTCTTTACCCGCTCATTTCACTAACAGAGCCAAGGCAGCCACAGCAGCGTCTTCAGACACACCGGGTCCAACATCAAAAATTAATCGCAGCGCAACTTCAATCACAACCGTGACCGAGCAACATGGATTGGGCCTGCTGATGCTAGTGTGTGTGTGTGTGTTTGCTTGTGTGTGTGTGTGTTGCGTGATTGTGGGCGTGTGAGGGAGCAACATGGGAAGAAGTGAAAGAGAAACATGAGGGAGGGAGATGAGGAGGGAGAGAGGGACTGACCCCGGGAGGATATCTGGATGAAGAGGCGGGGGTCTGCAGCGCGTATGGCCGCGGTGTACCGATCCTCGATCCCGGGCACCTGCGCCTTTTTCTCGGGCATGAGTCGCACCCTGAGCCGGCCTCCCTCTGCGCCGAGCCACCACTCCAGAATAGTTGTGAGGTCCATTTCCAGGGTGAACACCGGGGCCTCCTCGTACACAGACAGCCCCCCGCATCCCGTCCTGACTATATCCTCTCCTATTTCCACCACTACTTGGTTTGATTTCCTGCTCGCTTTCGTCAAACCCAATTTTAGAACTTTGGACAGCGGCCGCTTGTAGAAGAAGGGGAGCTGTCCCTCAGAGGACACGTTCCTCAGCTCTGAGTCCGTAGAGGACTTGGGGTCCACAAAAGTAGATATGGTTTTCTGCAAAGGTATGCAATGCATTTTCAAGTTTGCGCGCACCGTGTAACATCCGCTAAAAGTCTGGCAGTCGCCGTTCAGGGGTCTCTTTATGAACTCCGCCAGGTAATAGCGCAACAGAGAGGGGACCGCAAAATCCACAGCGAGGGTTTTCCTCTTCAGCCTGGAGTTTATGGTTTGGTTCAAGTCTCTTTTGCCTGCGCTTTCCCCGCTGTTGCCACCGGTGCTGCTGCCGCTGCTGCTGCTGCTGATGTTGCTGGAGCCGGCGGCGGGGGGATCCATCCCCGCTGTGGTCCTTGGCGAGGCGCACTGCAGCCCAGCGAAAAATGCCGCAGAACAAACAAGCAAAAACAATATCCCGGTGTTCATGGTTAAATACATTTGAGTCTTGTGTTTAGGAGAAGCCCCTTAATCCTACCGCTCACCGCTTCCTCTCTGCTCGTGTCACATACGCAGCGCAAAATCACAAAGTGCGAATCGATGATCCTGCGGGTCCTGCGCCTCTTCGCCGGTGCGCACCCGTGGCAAGACGAAGGGAACTGGGTTTTACATTTGTTTGCCAGTGACTGATGCTGTCCTCCCCTCATCACACGGAAAAAGTGCCATTTCCCCTCTCTGCTCTCCACACACTCACACACGGACGGACACACACGCACCTTGAAGACAATGCCTTTTATCGCCGGTACGAACCCAGCGAGTCGCTCTCCGGGACGCTGATTGATATGCCGGTCGGGTCCGCTCCGGTGGCTTTCAAAGACTCCCTGTCTCTTGGCACAGTTGTGACGGCGGTACAAGTGGTCTCTCTGTCAGCAGCGGGGTGCAGCGTCGCTCTCTCTCTCTCTCCCTCTCTCTCTCTCTCTCTCTCTCTCTCTCCTCACAGCTAAATCATGAATTCACAAGGAGTTTGGAGAAACCGAGTGTCCATTAAAGTTTAAAAGACAATCATATCTGATGGTCTTGGCTAACTGAAAAGCCCAGCGGCAGTCTCTCAGGTTAATGGTCTGCTGAGGATTTCGGCGCTCATTTGGTCAGAACTGGCAGCTCCGACCTCCTCTGCTGTGCCAACACACGCGTGTAAAGTCATCCACACGTCCATTTGACGCGAATATAAGCCGTTTTCTCCGAGCACGACTCCCTTGAGAAAAAAGCCCTCAGCAGCCGGCGCAGGAGCCTCCGCCGTTAAGGACGCGTCTGATGCGCCCTCAGCGCAGCCGTAACAGTGCCTGTGTCTTTATTGAAATTAGAAATGCCAGGAGGTACAGCGGCACAGCTCCACAGTTTGTCTCCCGTGATTTTTTTTTCATTGAATCACCGAGCCTTTGTGTGTCCGGAAATTGGATTGGATTAGTCGCACTCTCCCGGTTGTGTGCAAATCACATAGTTTCAGAGGGAGGCCGTTTGGGTTGGAGCCCAAATGGCTTTGTTATATCTAATGTGCAGAGGCCAATATGTCCTTAAGACAGGAGGAAGCTGTCTTCCCATCTTGGCAGTTCATTTGCCTCACGGTCTTTAATTGAGAATGGGAATCAAGGGGTCAGTGTTTGGGGCAGGAGGGAACAATTGCCAGAAAATGCTCCTCCACCACCACCACCATCCTCACCACCTAAATACACACTTTACACCCCCCCCCCCCCCCCCCCCCCCCAAAAGTTGATCGGGTGAGACACCCGCTAGATGGCGTCAGCACATTCTTATGGTAATTCACACTCCTCCGTTTCACTGACAAATCCATTAATGCTCTAATTGCTCAGTGTGTCTCATTAGAGCCTTATCTGGGCTATAGAGCAGGATTAGGGCCAATGTGAACATTTTGTGAGTGGAGGAATCACAGAATCTGGAGAATAAAGTCAGAACTATAAGATTAAAGTCAGATTCTACTTTATGGCAGGAGGGATTTGGGGGGATTTTGGCAACTTATCCCTTCTTTCAGTTCTGGTGAACATCAGCTGTGGAAAAATCATAGTAACTAAGTGTTGCTACACTATGATAGTATCTTACTACAAAATGATAGTTAACACAGCAGCTATCACTGACTACATCAAAGGTCTGCTTGATGAGTGGTTTTTGTAAGGATCAAGTAATGTGGTTACCACAAATACCAAATTTGATCATAATTACTTCCAGGTCCACTTAAACAAGACACGATTGTAACCAAAAGTAGTGACTCTGAGTTACAGATAATACAGTGAAGTAAATCAAACCACAGGTATCAAAGGAAAAAAACAGTAAAAACCAACTTATCTCAATAACTTAAACCAAAAAGTTGAGGTGTAACTGCGTAATATTCAAATCCCTTTATAAAATGGGGTAGAAGAAAAGGAAAAGAAAACTTAAAAAAAGTACATTTAAAAAATAATGGAAGTACAGATATTATATCCATCTTTCCCATCTTTTCATAAATTTGTCCTGGTGTAATCTGATTTCTGAAGTCATTCTTTCCATCCTTAAGTTTTCATGAATAATGTCAATCTCATCAATGTTTTTGGTTTTAACCACTTTAACCACTGGTTTTACCACATGTATATACGCGCTGCAATATATAATGATATAATATAAATAAATATCCATCAAAAGAAGTAGAACCTTCCAAAGGCAGGGTGACAAATGCCAAATTTAATTTAAATACTAAATGAAATTAACATTATATAACACGTGTCACTAGGTTCACGATACAGTTTCTTTACCAAAATCATTTCCACAATAATTAGACTCATGTTTTAGTGTCACAGCATTCCCATAGATTTTAAATTTACCCTCAGTTGGGGATATCAGAATCATGTATCATTTCATGTGTTGGCTAGTCTTCTATGTTTAGATTGTTTTGTGACATTAACATGAAAACTTTTTATACATGTCTTAAAATTATTATTAACCAGAAGAATATGGGAAGTCATCTGCATGATCAGTTAGACTTTGTATGTGATAACCATTTCTGTCTGCTGTGCTGAAGGGTGAGCAGCTCTTCACAGAGGAGCAACCAACATTTTCTCCTGCTTCAGTGCTCTGTGATTTTCACATTGGTGGCAGGTGCAGATAAAACAAATCAAGTCATGCAAATGTGGAAACAGAGCAGATTACAAGGAAGCTACATGGCACTTACTCTCCCTGTGTGAATTAATAAAGATGAATAAAAATTGTAGCAGTTACTTCAAAAAGTAAATAAAGAAAGAGAAGAAAAGTATGTGTTCAGCCGTGATGGCTGTCACTGCACATGCTGACCACCCACTTTTTCCTCCATTGACTCCAAACAAATAACAGATGCTGCTTTTGCTTTTTGGAAATGTGAAAACACTGATACAGCACTTCCTGTTCATCAAAGGATTCCCACCAGGAAACAGCAAACAGACCCTTAGTGCGTGCAACAAATTTAAATGCCTCATGAACTGGTTCTAATAAGAATCACCACTGTGTTGTAAATAGCAAACAGTGGAAATATTTGCATGAACATTACATGCCTGCTGCATCCATTCCCATCAACAGGAGGGTGTACCACAGCTGAGAGCTCTGCACTGCAGCTGTGCTTTGACCCAGTCCGCCTTTACTATCGCCACCCCAGAGATACGCAGTTTTACTGTGTGATGTAATCCCATATTCATTGTTATGGCTATTTCTACCGCTTACAGCAGCTGTGACCTGCTGATTGCACAACATTAGTTCTTGCTTAAGCCACAAGAAATATGCAGGTGATTGAGATTAATTATTAACATTAAGAACTCAACTCAGTTGTTGCAGCGCTGCAGAATAGGAGCCCATTCTTTCCATTAACTGCTGTTTTGTTACTAATTTATTACATATAACTACTTTTTTCGATTCTGATTGAGAAACAACCTGCTCTGCTCCTCAGGGGTTAATTGAGATTCACTGGTTGTACGTGAATTACCAATATTTTTTATTATTGATTGATCACTGCTTTGTGCCTGCATAATTACTTCCCAATAATGGAACTGTCCTTCACAGAAGCTGTTGTTCCTCCCTATTCTTCTTTTTGCTTGCTTACTTAACCTGCGCTTCATTGCCATGATTGTACAAGGAAGTATTGGTTTATTTGTGATGGGGCTATGTGTATATACACTCAGGGGTATTTGTGTTCAACGGTGCTGAAATGTTAGGAATTCAAGGTTTGTGAGCCAAACCAAACGCAGTGACTGCATTATTATCAATATCTTTTCTTGTCTTCGTTTTCCCCTGCCACACACGTCTGTCTCTCATGCAAATTCACATCCACATAAGATAAAATAGACACGTACGATCTTCACTCGGCTTGCATCTTCTGCCCCAACCTGTGGTGGATCGGCGGCAGAGAATCAGACCCAGAAGCACATCAGTGAAAAACTTTTTTTTTCCTCTTATTCATCGTACACTCTACCCTGTATCTGAACACATTATTCAAGACAAGTCATTTAATTCGTGTTCAGAGAAGGTGAGGAATCATAAAAGGTGTGGGAGGGACTGAGTACGGCGGCTAGGGAGCAGGAGAGGGAGTAAGAAATGGTGACACTGACACACTGAACTCTATTCAATATCTAATCTGTGAGGCTGTACTCACAAGTGCCGGGCCGCTCGCACAATATTAATGGTACACCGGCCGCTCCATTTCTATGCATGATATTGTACATCGACATTCCACTTGGTAACTGCTTCAATTGAGGTGAGCCTGTGGTTCTCAGTTAGCGTGTGGCTGCATGCAAGTTTGGTAATTTGGGCATGGAGCCAAATGAACTGTGGAAATGGTATAACCACTCACTGAAACAAGACAATATCTGCAGTTATTAATAATAGATTAAACACATGGGTAATGTTAGCCAAATTGATTTTTAACTAGCAAAAACCCAAAGTCAAGCATTATAGTTGGAGTTCTATTTTTTACACTAAATTGAATCTGATGAAATGATATTTATGTGCATAATTGTAATCCAGATGAATTCAGTCAGAGCGCTGCGGCTACCCGGAGAGAGATATTTGAAGTATGTATGGGCTGAGATGAGCTGGACTTTGTTAACAGCCCTGGCTGTATTCTTGGTAATAGGCATGCACTTTGAAAGCCATTCACCAGACCGCCAAGGCAAACTTAATTACTTTCTGATTGATCGCTCATTTCCACTTTTCAGTCCTTATTGAGTAAAATGAACCAAATCCCCGATATCCATTACCCACAATGCTTCGAGCTTGCTTCAAGAACCCTCACCGGCTATAGCTTCCATTTCATCTAAACCATGTTTAATATCCAGTTCACAGGTCAGCGTGGGGTGGGTGGGGGTGGGGGAGTGGTAGTGTGATAAATTACACACAGATAAGTTCTTACAAAGACCCTTCCCCCCTTGAGCTCTACTTTTCATGGCGCGCGCTGAACCTCGTAAATCAGCCGCCGT